CACTTTTAAAGGAACAGCTTGATTGCAAAGGAGAAATAGATAAGCAATGAAGTTATCTCCAACTTCCTAAAGGCTTATGACTTCTAAAAAGTGAATCTATCAGCATTCCACATCAGATTTAAAGCATCAAATGCCTGTGAAACAGCAAAGATGGTAAGCAAAGCAAACTAGTTTTTCCGTCTAAGTCGAAATTGAACACTTACCTTCCTCATAGTACAGTGAAACACTGTACCTCATGGCAATGGAAATGCCTCTAGATTAAAAAAAAAACTTTTGGAAAAGCAAATGTTCACTAGCATATTAGAAGTCCTCCAAATTCAACACATGGATTTTTTTAAAAGCATGTATGACACTTAAAGGCCTTAATACAGCTGTGTACCAGTATCAGTCTGGGGCTTGGGAGGGGGTACTTTTTAAAAAAGTATTTCTGATGAAGACCTTTAAACATGCTTCATGTTTTAACATTTTTTCAAATTAGACTTAGTCAAATGTAAGAAATGGCTTACGTTTGGGGTCTCCCCTCTTACCCTCTAAGCCATTGCAACCCTGACCTTTAGTTGGATGCCTGACTTGTTTTTAGTTCTATGAAACTACACTGTATGGAGAAAATCTATTGCAAGTGGTCTTTAAAAAAGCAAAACCTGAGGCAGCATGACCCAGGTCCAGCCATGAAGTTGAAAAAGATCCTCTTGAATAGAGTAAACTTGAAGACCTCCAACTAAAAATCCTTATACTGCACTTATTCCTTCAAATAAGGTTTTGTCCGTTCAACTTATGGATTTAACGTGGCAGTGCACCATTGGAACAGAATGAGAATCCATAAGCCATGCAACTTAACCATTTAAGCCATTCCAGTCCATCCCAAGCCAGTGAATCTTCCACCACTTAAGAGAAGTAGTAGAACATGAAATACATTAAGCTGCAAGTCTGAACTTGCCTTTCTTTCTGGAAAAGAGGGCAGTTATAATAGGCACGTTTTAAAGAATTTGCTTAAGATAGGTAACTGGTTTGCATCTATTTAATTTTTGCAGGTTGAGAACTATGGTCATTGTCATGGAGTGCTGATTTATTCACAAGTAGATAAAGCTGGCATCAGGAGAAATCAAAATGCTGAGGTACGTTTTGAAAGCAGTTTTCTTTTGTTGGTAAGGTTCTTTGCGTCTTCGTATGCAAAAAGGGTCTAATACTGAACACTTGAAAATACTTTTTTTTTTTTTTGTGGTACGGGGATTGAACTCAGGACTCCATGCTTGCCAAGCAAGCGCTTATTCTACTGCGCTGTCTCCTGTCTCCTCGGCCCATAAAATACAATTGTTTGAATGTGTTTAATATCTGGCACATCTCTTGAATGTAGAGTGACGTTACATAGGTACATTTTCAATAATGTACCACCAGTCAGAGTATTAGCTATCTCTTAAGCAGTTGCTAATGCTTCTTCATATGCCTGTGCTCTCTTACAGGCTGATGCTTTTGTGTGTAAGGAAACTAACTTGTATGAGATTCAATCTAGTAAATAGCTTCTGTGCATTTGCTTGGTTGCCTGCTGATCAGCACAGCCAGGAAACTGCTATTGCAGTTCAGTTTGAGAGACCTAATTTTATTGGCATAATGGTGATACACAGCATAATTTTAGTACTATGTAACTTTTCACAGTAATTATGTGTATGGACATTTTAATGCTTGCCCTTAGAGCATACGTTTTGGTGCAACTGAAACTAAGTATGGGGGAGTGGAGTGCTTTGCAGTATAAAACAAATATCCTGTAACTTGATCCCATGCTTTTTTACAGAGTTGTTGAAGCAGAAGAATGCTGACTGTCAATAAGGCACAACAGTTGCATAAGCAGTGTCCATCAGAATTGGTTTGGCACAGGCAGTAGGTCTTGCCTTCAAGGGCTTTTATGAATCTGAGGTGGGCAACAGTGTTGATTAACACTCTTAACTCTAGGGAGTGGTAGTTACTTAAAATTGACCAAGTGGAGAAAGGGAAACAAATTGGTGAGTGGATGGACTCAGGAAGTTCTTGTGGCTATTTGTATAGATTTTATAGCTTTGGCTTTCATGTTGATTAGTTAAAGTCATGGAAGCAACTCTGCAATTTAGAAAAGATTACCACTGAATATGAGAATTAAGGGCTGGGGATGAGCATTTGTTGGCATGTGTGAAGTCCTGGCTTCGGTCACCCAACACTACACAAAATTAAGTTCAGAAAAATAGCCATATATGCTCTTTACCCAGTAGTGTGATTTTCAGCAAGTGGAATATTTTTCATTAGCTTATCACTGAAAATGTTTCTGTTAAACAACCCAGCGAGAGGAGTAACATCCAGAAACAAAACAACTGGAAGCATTGCTAACTGAGGGGG